GGAGGGGGCTGCTCGGGGCGGGGGCTGCCCGGCAGGCACCTCCCTGCACTGCGGGGCTCCGCGCGCGGGCAGGGGTCCAGGCGGCGTGGCAAATCCCCCAGCAGACGAGCTGGGATCCAGGGAGGGAGCGGAATGACCGCCCGGCCCCGGCCGGGATGCGCACTCGCTGGGATGTTTTGGGGTGGGACGGCGAAGGGGTTCCGAGGCCTGCGGAGCCTCGGGGGTGAGCGCGCTGGAGTCTGGCCAGCTGCCCACGCCGCTGGCAGGCGTCAAGGCTCCCGTCGGCCGCGCAGGTGGAGGTGCAGCCCGGCCCACGCCTGGCCAGGCGCTCAGCAGGGCTGCCAGGCCCAAAGTCCAAAGCACTCGGTTGCCAAGTGGATGCAGCTGCTGGCACCCCACTGTCTTGGGGCAAAGGGTGCGCAGGGCAAAGCAGAAGCGCCCGGCAGGGGCTGTGGTGGAGAGCGCCAGGCCCCTGGTCCCCACAGATGTGACCCTGTGGCAGCAAGCTGCCGGGGTGGGAGCTGGGGGCTGGATCCAGCCTGGACTCCCCGAGCCATGAGTCATGCTGGGGGTGGGTCAGCTGGGGAAGGCCCTGCTCCTCTTCTTCTGAATCAGAAGAGCTTTCACTGTCAGAGAGCGGCCGGCTGTGGCCAGCCCCTGCCACCATGCGGGCTCCACAGTGTCTTCCCTGCGGCGCTGTTGCCAGCATCCCACCGGCTGGCACGGTGGTCCCATGCCCTTGCCTTGGCCCTGGCTGGAGAGCGCCAGCAGCGGTGGCCTCCCCAGCACCCCAGGGAAACTGAGGCGTGTCAAGAGGCAGCGAGGTCTCTGGGGCTGCGTCCCCGCAGGGGCAAAGCTAGAGCAGAGCCCAGGTGTCCTGAGCGTCAAGCACTGAAAATCCTCTGAGCATCTGTCCCTGAGAAAGCCCCGGGGAAATCTCTGCTCAGTGCCTGGGAGGACGAGGAGGGTGCGGAGGGCAGAGGGATGTGCATGTGCACAAGCTGCCAGCCCAGCTCCTTCGCCCGCCAGCCTCTGGCACTGGGCTGGGAAATCGCCAAGGGCAGAGGGGAGCTGGCCAGGAGTGGGGTCCCTTGTGGTCCCGATCCCCCAAGCACGAGGGGAGAGGTGGCCCCGAGGGTGGGGGGCTGCGGTCTGCTGCCAGGAAGTGCCGGTGGTTAATAACAGCCGTGAGATGTACGGCAGCTCTCACTTCTGGGATGCGGACTTGGTTCCCATTGCCTGATGAGTAAACAGAAAGCCCGTGGTGGGAACATGGGGGTCACCGAGCCCCTCCTGCGCCCAGGCTCGTCCTGCCCGACCTCCCAGCCCGGGACACCCCTGGCCCCACCGAGGAAGCGAAGCGGCCCCTCGGGTGGAGGAGGAAGTGAAAATGGCCGTGCCGAGGGGGCTTGGGAAGGGGGAGAGCGGGCGGGGGGGAGGGGCGGGGGGCACACCCCCGGGGGCTGCTCCCCCTCTCCGGGCACCATATCCTGCCCTGCCGTTGAGCCAGGGGCACCTCGAAGTTGTGGGGTTTCCCCAGGTGGCAGCTCCCGGCCCAAACGTGAGGCAGCCCTGCCCCATGGGCGCCCCGCTGCTGCTCAGGGCTTCAACCTGGGTTGAAGCCTCCCTAGGATGGGTCTTGCCTCCCTGCTGCCATCCCCTGCACCGGGCAGGCCTGGCCCCTTGCTGGGTGGGGGGAGTGCAGCGCTTGCTGCCATGGGAGCCTCCACCCTGGGGTGCGTCCTTGGGGGTGCAAGCCCTGTGTCGGCTGGGCCAGCGGGAGACTTGGGGTGCATCTGCAGTGGATGCGTAGGTGCGTTGCGCTGGGTGGTGCGGAGCCAGGAACTGCGCCTCCCCTGGCACCACTGAGCTGCTTTTGCCAGGCTGCCCCGGGGTGAGGGTCCCCACAGGAGGGGCAGCTCCATCGCCTGGCCTGGGTCTCTGTCCCTGCCTGCTGCCCGGCTTCCTTCTCCCTGGTGCTGCGGGGGTGCTGACGGAGCAAACCCCGTGCAGCCTGATCCTGTGAGGGTGCAGGAAGCTGGGGCTGGGCACACCGGCTTCTCTCAAGGAAAACTCCGTGCAGTGCAGCCCCAGCCGGGGTATTGTTATGGGAGCTGAGTCTTGACAGGGAAAGGCTGTTCAGGAGGAGCAGAGGAGGAGAACAGGGAAATCAGTTAGGATGGGAAGGAAATGCGGCATGGCTGGGCTGAAAGAGCTGCTGTGACTGATGCCAGGCGGGGACAGGCCTGTCCCCCCTTCTGAGCTCCTCTGAGCCGTTGTCCCCTGGGCTGGCAAGGAGCTGGGAGCCGGGGAGGAGGAAGAGCGCACCATCTCCTGTAGGCTTAGCAAATTCAGGCATGCCCAGCTTGCGTTCCAATTTGCCGCTTACCAGCCAACAGCCGCCTCCCAGGGCTAAGCAGAAATACAGGTTTTAATAGGGGGAGGAGGATGGGGATTACATCTTGAGGATCACGAAATGAGGCTGTTTTTCCCTCCTGTCTTGGTTCCCTGCATGCCAGCAGCTACGATCTCGCTGGGGCCGTGGGGAGAGCAGGGCAGCGCTCCTGGCTGTTGCTGTGTGCATTTCCCATCGTGCATTGATCCCTCCAGGGTAAACTCAGCCCTCAGGCTTTGCGCTGCAGTAAATCATCAGGATCTGTTTGCTCCGGCCAGCCGAGCAGAGTCGAAAGCAAATGTGTTCCTGGAAGCGCCAGGCTTGGCGTGCCCTGGGGTCGGGCCTCTGTCTGTTGCGGTTCTTCCCTGCGGCAGCACGTGGGGCTCTGCCGGGGTTGCCTGGGAGGGCTGGTCCCTCCATGTCACCCAGCTCCTGCGGGAAGCGGAGCACCCCAGGGGCTGTGCCGCCGCTGCCAGCCCTGGGTGTGCCCCCTTCTCCCGATGGGATGGTACGGGGGGTGGCCGGAGCCGTGCTGGCAGCCGGCCGGGCGCAGGCCGCACCGCGGTTGTTTTGCGCTCTCTGCGATGTTGCCCTAGTGACGCTGGCTTCCTTCCCCTCGCATGGTTTCTCAAAGTCTCCGGCAGCTCCTCCTCCGCCTTGTGCCTTGGCTCTTGTAGCGCAGCCAAGACCCGCGGGGAACGCGCTGCCCGCGAGGACACGTGATGTGACTCCCTGCTCGGCTGTTTGCTTTCGGGGACGGGAAGCCAGCCCTGGGCGGACGGGCTGGCCAGGGTCCCGGAGGCGCCCTGGCCCCACGTCTGGGCAGCGAGCTGCTGGTGCCTCGCACCCCGCCTCAGGATCCGGCCTCTGCCCCAGCCGGGTCCAAGGGAACCGGCAGTGAGGTGCGTCTGGGCCGGGTGGCACGGTGACCCCCCTCGCCTGCTGGGCCCTGAGGGCTGCCCAGAGGGGAGCGGGCTCCTGGTGAGGGCTGGAGGGTGCGACTGTGGCAGGCGGCAGGGAGGAAGGGAATGAGCTGTTGGGAAGAGGCATGGTGTGGGCAGGAGAGGCAGGCTGCAGGCACTGCTGGGGGGCTGGGGC